GGGGGTACTAATTGAACCCATGAAATACAGTCTCAGCTAGTGCTTTGGTATGCAGATTGGAATGGGAGGCCTCAGTTCAAATGTAGACCCATGATTGATAGACCCCCTCCCTTTTAGGGGCCTGATTATTAGGATCCTTATTTTAAACCCTATTGGAGGGAGGGGGTCCCATTTTCTTTTCCATACTCTCCCCCATATAACCCCAATATCCTTAAATCCCTATATTGGGGTATGTCTATACAGGCCTGGAATGAAGGAACTGGCTTTGGGCTATTGCCATTCGCTGGGTTGAATCATGGTTTTCCCTAAGCCCTAAATCCTAAACCCCTAAGCCCCTAGACGCTACACCTCTAAAGCCTAACTCCGAAACGGTCCAAAAATCGGAGTCTTTTTCAGTAGTAGAAACCTTGAAGCGCCAGTGCCGAGGTTCTACGGTTTAAAACACATCCAAGTCCTGTGCGGGTTAGGGTTTACGGGTATAAGGGTGTAGGCTTTAGGGGTTTAGGGGCTTAGGGTTTAGTTACAGGCTTTACATGAGAGTCCAGTCAGTTGACGACGCCTGCAGGCGCAACAGTTTTTGAAGCTGGGCACACTCAATCTGAGATCTGCGCGGCTCTGAGAGGCCAAAACCAAACCTTAAGCCATACCTGAACACCAAAACCAGTTAGAACAATAGCCCAACACCCCTTAGAGTAGCTGGCCTCAGTTTTATCAGCAACGCGAGGCAGCGTCCAGTACGCGCGATTCTGCCCGTGCTTTGACGCCACGGGCTCCAACGTGGGCACGCAGGAGTCTATGAGAATTTGTCAGGGGGACCAGTAAGTAGGTTATTCATCCCTATAACCCATATAAGTAACCTACTTACTAAATCCTCATGACTCTCCAAGTAGTGTGTAATTCACTAGGGCCTCCCGTGTAGTCAGTTCTATTAGGGTCAGTCACGTCTGCTGTCTCAGACAAAACCGGATTAGAGCTGTGGGCAGGGAATGTAAGCCTGCCACAAGTTCGTACGACAACTTTTGGGATCAACCTTTCGACTCCAAAGGCAGTATTCGCTGAGGAGCCGCAGGTTGGCAGTCCCACTTGGGCCTGCTAAACCCTCAACCCTTAGGGTTCAGGGCCTGGCATTGAGGCTCTGTCTTCAGTTGGAAGCAGAAACCAGGTCATCTAAAGGAGCCAAGGGTCAGCCACGCCGACGGACGTCGTCTCCTAAGCCCTACATCCTAAAGCCGAACCTTCAACCCTAAAGCCTAAACCTTAAAGCCTCAACCGTGTGGCTCTTTGGGATAACAAAGACCAGTATTCATCAGGAGTAATTACTAAGCTGCAGGTACTTGGGGTGACAGGAAAACTCCAGCTAGTTACAGATTTTATTCCCTCAGTCTCGCAGAAACGAGCTTTCAGACTCCCTCTTTTTGTCGCAGCTTCGATTAAATCTCGACCGTCAAGTACAGCTGACATTCCTTCAGGGACAGGTATGGAAGTTGTTGGGGGAGGAAGGAGGTTAAACAAAGGCTCCAAGGACACAGCTTGCATTTACTCGGGGCCCAACGTGCGCAGAAAGTCCAATATCCCTTAATTAGGGAATCTACCTTAGATAAGAATTTGGGGTTAAGGGATATCCTTCCCCCCCATACCCTAAACCATTTCGACTATCTTTTGCAACCTCCACTGTAGACCCCACTTGGAGGGTCACGGGAACTTTAGTAAGTAGGTTAATAACGGGATAGTTGGGGTTACTATGTGGCTTATAGGGGTTATACGTATACTGACTACCTGAACCCTAAAAGTGTGTAGAACAATTGTTGTTGGGCTATATTTAGGTGTTTTGGGCTGTTGCTTTACTTAGCTAATTCTTTTCAAGGTTAGGGCTTTTCGCGTGCAAACCCCATAGATAGTACTGGAGCCTTAGGGTAAGTCTCCCTGACCCTCCAAGCAGTTCCCCCCAAAAATCGACTTCCGACACCCCAAACATCCAAAGCAACGGCCATGGACTCTGAGCCTTCAACCCTAAATTCAAGACTGGCCCCCTTAACACCCTGAACCCTAAATTCTCAACCCTGAACCCTAAATCCTAAACACTGCACACTAAATCCTAAATCTTAAATCCGAAACCTTATAACCTAAACCCAAACCTTCAACACTAAATCCTAAACCTGCAACACTAGATCCTAAACCCCAAACCCTAAATCCTAAACTCCTACAAAATCCAGGAGGAGGGACCCAACTAATATCCATCAAATCTGCATATAATTTGGGGTCCCTTGGACGCGCTTCTTAAGTGGGGTTATCTTGGGGTTATATGGGGGTTATCTAGGGATAATGGAAAAGAAAATGGACGCTACGATTTAGGGTTTAGAGTTTAGTGTTTGGAGGGTCGTGGGGACTTAGTAAGTAGGTCAATCATCACAATAACTAGGGTTACTAGATGGGTTATAGGGGTTATTCGGTTGTTCACCTACTTACTAAGTGCTCCTGACCCTCCAAGTAAAGCCTAAACTCAACTCTACCTGTAACTCCATTTACCTACCGTTTAGTAGTAATTGCTCTTAACTAGTATGTATGACCCCTAAAGCTGTAGGTATCTGCGGTGACGGCCAAATCTTAGACCCTCAGCAGGGATTGGGTTCCCCAAACCAGTAACAGTTAGATACTGTTTCTTTTAGAGCTATATATTGTCCCTATAATTACTACTAACCCTCTTACCGACAGTTATGGTTGTTATGTGCGTGGGACCGGTGCCCAACTCAAACCCTACACCCTAAACCCTAAATAGAGAGCAGGAGCTTCCTGCTCTCCTTACCAGCGAGATCTCCTACACCGCAGGCCACGCACAGATCGGGCCTACTTTGAGGGTCAGGGAGACTTAGTGAAGTAGGTTAATAGTGGGGATAATTGAGTTTAGTCTGTGACTGTGGCTGATTGAGAGGTTATAAGTTATAAGTTTACTTACTAAGCCGTGCTAACCCTCCAACTAGGGAGCCCAACATGCCTTTATTCAGGAATATGCGTCAAAATGGTGCTTGGAGCCCGAATATGCTTTAACGTATATACCTTGATGAAGGGGCAGTGGATTTTCTAGGTAGAGTTTGGCAGTTCTCAGGGTTCAGGGTCGGGTTTAGGTTACCCTAAGGGTTCAAGTACCCAATAATCATATACTTCACCCAAAGCTGTACTATAATTACTATTACCCAAATCCCAAGTACCCAAATATTGGGTACATGGACCCTTAGGATTAGATGGTGTTGGGTCCAGGGCCTGGCGTCCAATAAATCAACAAACTTACCTCTGTATAGTCCACATGGGTGGTTGTCAAAATTATGGTCCATTTCTGCATCCTTATTATAATACTGCACCTAACATTTAGGGTACCCAAAAAAGGACCATAATTTTGACAACCACTTCCATAATGGCCCCAGAAAACGCAGAATGTGGTTTCGGGTTCTTCTGGTTGCCCTGATGGACACTCTGAGAACATGTGTGTTTTCCTAACCTAAGAAACGAGACTCTCCGTGGCAAGGCGGCTTCTGTTGCAGCATCTCAACAGAGAAGCTCCAGAACCCTGCTGTAGTCTTTCCAAAGGCATTTCCTGGCATGCCTTGTGAACTTCGACAGGATCTAATGTTCTCAGCCTTTGAGGCAGTACTGTAGCGTTTCAGACCTCATCCTATGCTAGACTCTCGTACTATCAACACGATGCTTCACAGGGATCCTGAACCCTAAGCCCTAAAGAGATGGAGTCCAGGGCAGTGTGGGTGAATCCTCCTCATTGTAGGGACCCCATCGAACCCCGAGTCTCACATAAAGCATAAAACCTTGAGCCTGAAATCCTACATCTAAACTCAGGTTCTTGGGATTTTGGTTCGGGTTGAAAGACCTGCAAGTTCAAGACGTAGCTGCATGTGCTTAGAATGCGGCTGTTAGACTTGATGGAAGTTTGACGGGGAGAAGTCCCTAGGGTTCCAAGTTTACGCCAGGGCCCTGAGGGAAGATACCAAATGCATGACCCCAAGTATCTCAAACCTAAGAACTATCAACAGCCCTACCTATTTTGGGCTATTGGGATCCATTGGGTGTCTTTCCAAGGCAGCACACCCAGCACTGGTACTTCGTCCACAGCGGCATCAGACTCGAGCACGCAATCCACGACCGTAGCGTGCCGCGTCCAGCATGTCAGTAGAAGGAATGTAATTTGTGGGATTTGCCCCTCGTTGAAGTAGTGGGTCCTTAAAATCAATTCATTAGGCCATACCACAAACGGGGCTCCTTTTTTTGTTAACTTCCTAGGGTCCAAATGCCTCATCATCATGCACTTTCCCAAAACCTGTACTGCAACTACCCTTGCCCAAATCCCACCAAATGGGAACCTGGGCCGTTAGGGATAAGTAAGGCAGGGTTTGTAGTGTATAGCTTTTTAGGGAGTTTCAGGATTGAATGGAAAAAGCCAGCTTCGACTCTAAACCCTAAACCCTAACAGCTGATGTGAGCTAATACACAGAAGCAAAGCTACTACCTAAACCCCTAAACCCTTGGCAAAGACATTCCGGAGCTACGGCGAGCGGCAAAAGGCCCGATAAAAAAACAACCAAAAACAGAAAATTCATAAACCTTAGGTGGACCCACCACCCAGTAATAGTGACTATAAGGGATAATTGGGATTATATTAGGGTCCTCTTATATTCTTCTTATACCACTATTACAGGGTGGGGGGTCCTCCTAACCTAAACCCTAAACCCTAAACCCACAACCCTAATCCTTACTTTAAATCCCTAAGCCCATTCGATTTTAAGGCGTTCAGTGACTTTGAGAGAGTAGACCGCACTTCTCAGGACATCCCCGGCATCCTTCTCCATATAATATTAGGGTTAGTAGCCCCCTTGATAACCCGTAGTATAGGGTTTAGGATTTAGGGTTTAGGGTTCAGGGACCCTATAGTGCCTCGTTAGGCTAAAATCGCAGGCCAGAACTGCGAAGCTGAGGAGCATCGAGTTTACCATGAACCCTCATGAGGGAAATCGTCCCGTTACGTTCGCATGGTTCTTGCACAAGCCCAGGCGCCAAACTATAGACTTCCTGGCAGCTGAACACGGAAAGTGAATAGGGCTTCTGTGGGGGCCCAGAGTTTCCACGAGCGCAACCTAAACTCCAAAAGTAGGTAGAATAATAGCTCAAAACACGTAAATCAAGCCCGAAAGGCCATTATTCTATAAATTTGGGGCTCAGCTAGGATCTAGAAGCTGCCAGTTCTTCATGAGAAAGGCATGACAGCGCAGCGCCTCCTCTTTTTGACAACAGAAGATCCAGAGCCTTCAAACCCTCCATTGAGCTAGTAACCCATTGAGGAAATATCAGGGTTATATTGGGGTTATTTCGGATTAGCTGAAAAGAAAATGGAAACTACTATAGTTCATCTGCCTTACATCATGTCAGGAGTTTCGGGATATTTCACCCATTGTTGATCAACAAACTTTGGAAGCTTCATGAATGGAAGCTCTTGAAACCCTTGCAGCGCTCATGGCCTGAGAGTATGGGTGGACGGCTGACGCCAGTATAGCCAGCACCAGCATCATTGCTTTGCATGAAGTACTCATGTGCGAAGGTTTTTGTCAGTGCAGTAGTCGTCTTCTTCCGTGTGGTCACAGTAACTATCCTAAGCCCCGCTGACGATGCTAGACTCTAGAATATCAAGACTCCAAGTGGTAGACTGAAGAGTCTAAATTTCAGACCCAAGAATCCAACTGCTAGGTCCAAGAATCCCAAAGACAAAATCCAAGCAGTTGATGCCAATGTACAGCTTCCACGAACATCTATACATAGACAGACAACCTGAACCCTAGACCCTAAATCCTAAACCCTAAACCCTAATCTCCAAGTCCTATACACGCCTTCTTGAACCATATCCAAGGGCAGACGCCACCTCCGATGCAGTCACGTCGGGAGGCTTTCTCTCCAGCAAGGCCTGCATTCAAATATGAGCTGTAGTCTAAGACTCCTTAAGCGGGGTTATATGGGGGATTATATAGTGAACTACTATAGGGGTTATTAAGGGGGATACTAGGAGTTTAGCCAGTGGCTCATATGAATCAAGGTATCGTGGCTTCCCTTGACAGAGGGACCCCAATATAGACCCCAAAATACAAAAAGTCTTCATTTCAGGGACGAATTTTGGGCAACCTCCACATACTTTTTGGTGCTTGAGGTGCTTTGGATTTAGGATGTTTGTTTGTGTTTAGAGTCTACCTGAACCCCAAAAGTAGGAAAAATAATGGCCCAAAACCCACGAATATAGCCAAAACGGCAAAAATTCTACATACTTTTAGGGTCTAGGGGCTTGAGGTGCATCGAGATGAGGCGGTACATGTAGGGTCCAGGGTATAGGGTTTTGGGTTTAGGGTTTAGGGTATAGGGTTTAGGGTTTAGGGCTTAGGGACCAGGGTATGGGATACATAGGGACATTTTGGGAGAAAGGTGTATATGTAGGGCCTCAGAATTCAGGGGGTATGCCTTGCGCCATATTAGTAATCCTAGTATGATATAGGGTATAATGGAATTGTATAGGGTGTATTGAGCTTTCAGGAACAAGGGTGCCAGAAGCAAATCAACTGAAAGTTATGCAAAATCTAATTCCAAACCAAGTGAAGACGATTCACAATTGCAATAAACCCAATCAAAATTGCATTCAGATTCTATTCAGATTCCTTTATACGAACCCTTCAAAAACCATCCAAGTCTAGGAAATCAAAGAGATTTCTAATCCTAAAGAGTCGTGCTAGGGACCCCCCTAGTCCAGAGGATCCGGGCCGTAGTCTACTTCAGTCTTGGCGGCGGATTGCAGAATTGTGCAATTCTGGGGAACCTGTATCTTATATTGGGGGGGGGGATATGGGGTTAACGTTTGGGGGAAGGGAGTATATATAATATACAGATATATATATATACACGTATATACGTGTGTACATATATATATATACATGTGCATATATAGAAACTATATAGAAATATATGGCTCAGGTGGGTTGGGCACTTGGTGCAGCCAGTTGCCTCGCCGTAGCGCCCGATGCGCGCTGAGCCGGGGAAGTTGATGGATGCATTGGAGCCCCTGGCTAAGGTGAGGTCTGGGTAGTGTAGACCCCTGATTAATGAACACCTTCCTTTGAAGGGCCTAAATACCTATTATAATCCCTATTAAGGGGAGGGGGTTTATCAATCAGGGGTCTGGGGTAGGGTTCACGGTTTAGAGTTTAGGGTTTGTTTTTGGGATTCAGAGTAAAAAAGTCTGGGTAGGATTCAGGGTTTAGGGTGTAGGGTTAGGATTTGGGTTCCGGCTTCAGAGTAAAAAGCCCGAAGTTACAATCAGGTAATATGCATATACAACGCTCGTGTTTTGCAATTCACTTGCACAGATTGAAGGCTTCCCGTACTGTATAGGCTAGAGGAAAATATTGTTCCAGACATGTCTAGACGACACAGAAAATGGTTTTTGGCTTAAGGGTGTTGACGTTGGGGCTATAGGGAACGCGAAGCCCTAAACCCTAATCCCTGAACCCCTCAACCCTAATCTCTAAACCACAACCCACTCCAAACATCAGCCCTAAACCCTAATCCCTAAACCCTTCCCCTAATCTCCTAAAACATCGGCATGAGGTCTTGTTGGAACAGGTGCCCTAGACAATCCTTCAAAAAGCCTCTGGAACCTCGCAGTTTAAGTTTTAGGGATTCGGCTTTAGGGATTAAGGGTTTAGGGATTAAGGGTTTAGGGATTAGGCTTTACGGATTAAGGGTTTAGGGATTAGGCTTTAGGGATTAAGGGTTTAGGGATTAAGGCTTTAGGGATTGAGGGTTTAGGGATTAGGCTTTAGGGATTAAGGGTTTAGGGATTACAGGTTTAGGGATTAAGGGTTTAGGGATTAAGGGTTTAGGGATTGAGGGTTTAGGGATTAGGCTTTAGGGATTAAGGGTTTAGGGATTACAGGTTTAGGGATTAAGGGTTTAGGGATTAAGGGTTTAGGGATTAGGCTTTAGGGATTAAGGCTTTAGGGATTAGGCTTTAGGGATTAAGGGTTTAGGGATTAAGGCTTTAGGGATTAAGGGTTTACGGATTGGCCTTTAGGAATTAAGGGTTTAGGGATTACAGGTTTAGGGTTTAAGGGTTTAGGGATTAAGGGTTTAGGGATTAGGCTTTAGGGCCTAAGGGTTTAGGGATTTAGGGATTAAGGGTTTAGGGTTCCAGTATCCTACAGGGGGTATTTGTTCTAGCAAGGCTGCCCTTGGGGGTAGCCGGGTATAACCTCAAAGGCTCTACTGCTTGCCTGTGGGCTCTAATGATCTTTACAGCGACTGCGGATGGGCGTCAGCTCAAGTGTGAAGCTGAGCTCTTTGCGCTCCTGAGCTGCGATTGCCGTCCGTAGGTCGCTTTTCTGCACAGGAGTTCTGGCTTGTAAGATTGGTAGTTCCTACTAGTTTCGTGAGAATTTTCTAAATTTCTTATCCTGCGAACGTCTCGGAAGAAGGGTTATCATGTCTGCCAGGGTTCCACGGCAGGTAAAGGTTTAGGTGTTTAGGTGTTTAGGTGTTTAGCTAGGGGTTCGGGAATATTGGTCGTAGCAACAGCAGCAACAAGAATTGCAACATGCACAGCCCCAATTCAGACTTGGGTGCGAGAGTTGTACATGCCTCAGGCCGTGCATTGTTGATGGAGGAAATCCTTAGGGCTTAGGGCTTAGGGCTTAGGGTTTAGGGTTTAGGGCACCACCCAAAAGCCCGCAAAGTCCATGAGCATTCACAGTTGTCGTCATCGTCATTGTTGCGGTAGTAGCAGCAGCTGCTGTGGTATAGTGACCCCAGGTGGTGCAAGATTCCTTCACAAACGCTGGTATTAGCCCCAGAACCCAAAACCATCACTTGCTTTCGATTTTTTCCGTGCGTACCCGGTGGGGGTTTGGTTTCGGGGCTTATAAGGCGCTTCTAAGCAGTTTTGCATTAGGTGCGACTGTACTCAATAGTGCGGGAGCTCCTCCAAAACACAATTTCCACGAATGCGAAAGAGGACCCCGTGTTGCCCGTGCGATCTACGAAGCTGAAACCCTAAACCCTAAAGCCTGCAATCCGAGCACCCTTACCCTGAAGCCTGAACCCTAAAGCACTACAACCCACCGGGATGTTATTGCTAGAGCATTGCCTTTGCAGGCTTAGGATTTAGGATTTTGGATTCACTGGGACCTTGTATACGGGGTAGAATCCCCACGAACACCTATGAAATCCCTATATATATATACACACCTATTAAAACCCCTACAAAGTTTCCATAACCATAAACCCTAAACCTTGCATCCTAGGTGAAAGCAGAAGGATTTGCCAGGGCAAGGACTCATCTGTTGCAAGTGAAACAAGGAGTGTGGAAGCCATCCTTGGGTTCAGGGCCTAGGTTTTATGGATTTAAGGTTTAGGGGTTGAGGGTTAAGGGTTTAGGGATTTAGGGTTTAGGGTTTTTAGGTTCCCATACCATATTCTCAGACTTTTCCAACATTGCTGACTGGTGCCTCATGTTCGCTATTCGCGAGGGGATAAGTGCAAAGCCAATGACGAGCAAATGAGCAGGAACATACTTGGGTACATGCCTTACCTAAATTACAGGGCTCTTGTCTACTTTTAAATTTCAAAGATGGTGAATTCATCGCTTGTTGGACCTCGAAATGAAGACCAACATCAGTACGGACACACCCCGTATGATTCAGAAGGACTTCCCCGCGCCTCCATGACACAAGGCCGAATCTTCAAGGTTACCTAGACCAAGCGTTCGCCTTGTTGTGGTATTTGCTGCTTGACAAGTCTAAAAAAAAGAGACCTACCAAACAAGCATTTGGAGGGTGGGCTTCGGGTTTCGCAATCTTGGGAAGCATTTAACCACAGCCAATGTACTTCCTTACAATACGACTCTCTACTAGAATACCAAAATGCTTGGGTTCAAGCGCCCCTGGGTTACATAAAGTTTAGCACCCTAAACCCCAGACCCCTAAACCCCAAGCCCCAAAGCCCTAGGTTTAGGATTGCGAACCAGACTCAGCTCAAAGATTCTGGGCCTTCTTCAGGTACAAACGTCTTAATGAATTAGAAGTTTAGAATTGAGGGTTTTAGTGGGCAAATGGAGGAATGGATGTTCCTTGAATCCTCAATGTTAGAATAATGCCCATATTCTTTTCCATGTCTTATTTCCCTAGTAACAACCAGCAAGTAGGGTTTAGCAGGTTCGTGTGAGCTGTAGTCTTAACTCCTAAAGGAGGGTTATGTATGGGATTATATAGGAAGTATTATAGGGGCTATAAAGGGGTTACTAAGGAGTTTAGACCCCAAACCCCATTATAGGGCTCGTTAAGGGGGATGCTAGGAGTTTACATGTGTTAACTGCGCTTGTTACCTGGATCTTGGCATCTCTGTTGGAACCTTGCCCACAGTCTGGATTGCCAATTGAAACTTAGTGTTTAGGGTTTAGGCGGTCAGGACTTAGGGTTTAGGTTAAGGGTATCAGAAAACTCGTAGTCGCAGCATATGAACTCTAGACTCCATACTCCCTGATGAGAGCTTTTCCGCGTGGCCATTTCAATGAGGTCATGGGCCTCAACCTGTCACGCAAGCATTGCTCAATCATGTCTGAGAAATGCATCTCCGATTGGGCCAGTTTCTATTTTGTTGTAGAGGTCAAAGGCTAGATGATTTCGTATTCGGGGAGTTTGCGGTGTCTGGAGGCATTCTTTGTCATGCTTGTTTTCAGGCAGAACACTCCTAAGGCCTTCTTCGCTTCATCAGTTGGAAGAACACTACTAGCATCATCAACCTGGAGATCAGGCTTCAAATCACAGTTCAGCATCGTCGAAGCTTCGCTACTCAGCTTCCGATGCACCTTGACATGAAGGAGTGCTTCCCCTCAACAATTCGTATTCATACTTTAGGGCTTAGGGCTCAAGTGTTGGGATTTCTTTTTTGAAGCATTTCAGGGATAGTTTGCTAACGTAGTAGGTTGTATGACGACATATAGTATCAGGCGACGGTTCTTTTTCTTTGTTCGTACAAGTGTTTTGTAAAGAGTCCTCTCACAACCCCAAAGCTAGGTGCGAGAGACAAGTTTCCAGGCAGAGAAGCAGAATTGCGTTTTATTTCTTGGGGCCCCTACATGAATCATGTTTTGGAGGATCTTTACAGTTTGAAATGTACGTAGTGTATGCGTGGGAACGGAGTACCTCAATTTCAGCAAGCCTATAATCCCTAAGCAGGACCTAAGGTAAGATCTTGCAAGCCGGATTAATGGCGAGGCACACCCTTTTGCTTTAAGAAGTGTGAGAAATCAATCCCTCTGAGAGTCCAAAAACGGTCCTGACCGTGAGGATGAACCCCAAGCTCCACTTTCAAAGTCGAACACACATCCCGGCCCAAACCCAAACCCTAAATCCAAGCTTCCTTTTCATTGTCAATCTTCTTTTCCTCCCCTGTACCTGAGTGCAGTGTACGTATCCCAAATTATCCCTTTATGCCTCATGCCTCCCTAAACCCTAGACCCTCCATATACTAGGCACTGAGCCCGCTAGGAGGTGCAGGTTTCATCTCTGTTTTGCTCGACGTGCAACGAGCTTGCCGCAGTTTGCTGCGGGACTGGCAAAATGTCAGTCGCACGATCGTTTCCCTGGGTCACAAGCTTAAAGCCTTAAGCCTGAAAAGGGCTACCTGAACACCAAAAGTATGCAGAATAATGGCCTGTCGGGCTGTATTCAAGTGTTTTGGGCTCTTGTTTACCTATTTTGGGGCTTAGGTATGGTTTCAGGATTGAAGCCTCAGGGTTTATGGTTTAGGGTTGGTTAGGCTTGTACAGAGCGGACTCAGGCTATACATTTGTGAAGCTGTAAACCCTGGAGTATAAGATACATGGGGTGGTGTAACATTTCCTCCATCCACGCGGTGCGGATTCTCCAATTAAAGGTTTTTGCCACCCCTTTAATGCCTGCAAAAACCGTCTTGTAAACCTGAATTCCCCGGGGTATGCCATTTTGCCACACTCCTCTTGCGGGAGCCCATGTCTC